TAATAGAAGATTCTTGAACGAGGCTCCCATCTTTATGGGTGCTGTTCTCATTTTAACTACTCCTTAAGAATAGATTTAATTATGAGTTTAAGAAATTGTGTAACTGGACAGTTTAGTAAACGAGAACTTTAATATTGTGAACACTTTGACATTTCAGTTTTCAACACGTAAATATTTCTATATCCTTAACTTTTAAAAGTATTGTAATACGAATTCTATGCTCTGAATTATGTATAATAGATTCATTCCTATTGTGTCTGATGCATTTGAGGCAACCATGTATTTTATATGATACTAGATCAGAACAGAAGGGACAATTGAGCAAATCATTCTAATACAATTATTTGCATTCACACTTATCATAATTAACAACGATAAGCTTGTATATATTTAGTCAGTTGTGATGACTAAAGTGGAATACTTGCTTTTTAATTCAGTGCTACTAATACTGTTACAGTTCTCATTGTCATCGTGGTAATGAAGTTGAAAGTTCAAGAATGTATATGTTAATTGTTATACTCTGCAAGGAGCTATGATCAAAAGTATATTTATCTGTAGACTAACTTAGACTGTATGTAACAAGTAGAGTTCACGGATGGTAATAAACACGAAATAAACCAATAACGATAATAAACATTTAATAATGATGTGGGGCTAGTGAAAAAACACTGAATCCTATCTAATTTATATATTATCTTCAATATATAGTTACCATGGAGGAATGTTCACAAGACTTTAAACTGTTTATGGTAAATCGTCAAGGTCAGTGATATCTGATGTTGATTAATAAATCGGTGGCATGAAACTGTGATGCACTGTAGCTTGATCATAACATGTCCTGATTGTTCTTTTTCAATCTATACTTTTAAATATAAACTTTTAATGGCAACAATTCATTGTAGAATATATTAAACCAATAGAAAAGTATAATTGCTTAGTTAGAGTGAGCCAGACTAAAAAGTTATTAGATGATAAAACTAACATAAAACTATGTAATTTAAATAGTTACATCATTCCAGTTAACTTGTGTCGATTAAAACTATCAGACTAATGATGATTCATTATTTCGAATATGATCAAAAATCTACATTAGTAGTAAATTACAAATTGATAAGTCGTCTAATTGAACGCTAGATTCGGTTTCCTAATCTCTTCTTTTGGAACCTTACTAAACGTAGTAGCATAATGTGACTTTAAGCCCGGCTAGTATCACGTAATTTATTCGCCAATCGAAATACGACTTATGCAATCTGTGCCAAATCAATGATTTTCGACCGATATGAGCAGCTTAGCGTCATTATTGATCCTTTACTCACCTAGCCCGTCCAGTTGAGTCCAAAATAACAAAAACAGCTTACATTATGCGAATCATTAGTTCAGACATACTTGGTTTATATACCAGCCAAACAGACCTCATCGCACCATAAAATAGGAAATAACATTTATACATGATCAAGCCAAAAAGTGGCTGTGAACATGAGAGATGGTAATCAATAAGCTGAACATAACTTAGGAACAGTAAATCGTATAATGATAAATTATAGATACAAATGAAGCTTATAATAAGGGGAATATAAATATACATAATTGAATTACTGAATAGTAACACTATAAGAATATATAGATAATATTAGTCCACTAATCGTTCTCGGAAGTTACTCGTAATTTAATCTTCACTAGGATATAACATAGCAGTATAAGTAATCATCCAATCAGAAACGCCACATGTAAATTTTCACTTTCTAGACGTTCCTGGAAAAACGTCTATTGAATACTAATTGGATAAGATGTTACTTAACATTTTCAGAGCTATTTTTTGTGTGGCTTTTTTCAAGGAATTTTCTGAATCTCTACAACACAAACAAATCTTTAATTTTTCATTATAAAGATGTTCATTTAAGGACAAGAGATAATGATTCTTGTCATTTGAGATTATAATTGAATATCAAGTTTAATACATAAATAAGTAGATGTTTGCAGATTTTAATTACTACTTTGCAATCAAAGTAAAATATTGGTAGTTTTTTTCAAAAAGAGGACATAAATATTGAAACAAACTATTCATTAAATCATCTTTATCTTTGAAATATGTTATTCTGTATACATTTGCGTATACAATACTGTGTGTAGAATACTGAACATTTATTCTTACTTAGTTTATATGTTCGAGACAACGCCCTACTATTATTAGTAGTATTTTTTTTATATCAAACAATAAACTGAAGTTGATGGAGGTCAGTAGTGCATTCCTCCCCTCTGAAAGCACCCACTACAGACAACGCCGCCTCGCCAAGACACCCTACTCGATGTCACCTCTTCGCACTAGACCGCTTCAACTAGCACCTTAGATCCAGGCTCGCAACGGCATCCACAGAACAGCACCGTTCCCCGCGCACCTGGTTGGCAGCGACACCAAATATAGTGAGCGAGAGTACGAATGGGGGAAACCGAATGTATTTCAACACAAAATTACAGAATCTTTTAGTAAAATTTGAAAACTATACAGTAAATACTTCTTTTGCAAAGTGTAATCAACTGTTTCAAACTTGGCTGTTCCTTCTGAAAAGTGCCAAACAGTTGCCTCAAAACTTCATTGTTCTTTTATTTTCACATCAATCATTCTCTGTTCTCTTTTTCTTTTCTTCAATCTTCTTAATCTTCTGCTGTCAGGTATTTCACTTCTGGTTGATGATACACACTATTTATATCTATCGATATCAGTAGTACACACTACACAGGTTGTATGTTACTTCCCATTTGAGACTCTTCAGCATCCGTGACTCAAACCTAATACCGTTCGCTTCAAACACTATCGCGTTATTCATTTAGCTGCTTACAAAGCTTGTGACTGAAGGCAATATCGAGATAATCTGCGCAGGGTACATATATGCTAATAAAAGTGACTGATCAATTTCAGTTCTAAACATTAATGGGAAGATTCAAGAAACTAATACAAAAATGAAATAAACTGGTTACCTTATATTAATGTTAATTTATTTCTGTTCTAAGATTTAAATAATTCATACTCTTGGATTGATTTATGAAGTCATTGAATAATAAGTTCTACAGAGTATCAATAAATTAATTGTTTGATATTATGTATTATTTTTCAGTCATATACAAGTAATTTTAATAGTTGAGATCATGAGTCAATTGAAGCTAGACCACCATGGGAAACCTGGACGTACTTAACGGCCGTTTCGTCCCATCGTGGGAGTCCTCAGCAGTATTCATCCACTACTCCGCCTCGCAGGATTCGAACCCAGGACCCATCGATCTCGCGCGTGAAACTATTAAAATTACTACAATCTCCACAAAACCTCTTCTGATATTATGAATAAGTCTATATTGGACCAATTATTAAGTCAACAGATTAAAATAAATGTGTTCATTAATGATGTGATCATAGTAATAAGGACTTGTTACTGTGATAATTTAAGAATAACTGTTGAAACATTTTGAATACTCCAATCAAACTGTAATTTTCTCATTGAAAATATTTATATAATGTGAAGTAAACCGAGATTATTTTATCTACTCTTTATTCTAAGAGCATACATAAGATTATTTGATTATTAACAGCAAGTGTATAATAAATAATTGAATGATTGTTGATGAGTGATCGTCTGAGATGTAAAGTTTTCGGTGGGTGCTTAGGAAAACTAGTGGTGATCTATCTTTCTTTACTCGTAGTGTATGATTTTGAACTACATTCAAATTGGAAAACGTAGTTTGTGATGACGTGAAGAGACTATATGTCTACCTTTGATTTAACTATTGTGGTGACTTAAAATAACATTAGGCTCAACTCAGTGTAGAAGGAGGTGATTTGAGCTTCTAGTTATTAATTAATCTAACTTCAAAATTAGCTTCAGTCTTATTTTAGGCATACTAAGAGAAAATTAAAGATAATGCTTACTCATATATGTCCTAGTGACCACAGTTTTTGATAAAGGTCACAATATCAACAATCCTTTCGTTATCGTTCTGCAATAGCAAATTTACCGATTCTGTTCTTATCATATATGGTGAATATTCTTTATGAAAGCTAACATTGACTGTTTTATTGTACATTGTACCCAGTATAAATGCTTAATTGTTCAGAGAACGTATAACGACTTGTTTTAACTGAAATACCATTTTGCCTGTAGAGGTCCGTTCACTGGGAGCTTTCTATGTCGTTGAGAAACCATCGGGGCTTTGTGCAGATTTTTCATAGCTTAAACCACGAACAGTTCGTAGCTACAGGACCACTGAAAGGCATTTTCAAAAAAGACAAAGCCATGATTTCCTGTGGTGGCTTCATGGATTTTCATCCCTGAATAGTCCTATATTTAGACAATGTCGATTCGTGATTTAAACTATGACACACTTTCCTACTCATTCATCAATCACTGCTTGGTTTTTTTTAGCATTGAGATACAACAGAGAAATTTGTTTATCTTTTCTAGAGTAAGCAGTTTTTATTTTTTACTTTAAATTATTTTGTCCTACATGTCAGAAAAGTTCAACAGCTGAATATCCTTACTGACATCTTGTAGACCATCTGGAAGATAATTTTTTTGCCTAAGATCATGAACCGATTGATGTTAGACCACCATTGAGAACCTAGAAGTACTAGATGGCCGTTTTGTCCTATTATGGGACTCCTGAACCATGAGCACCCATGATCTTGCTAGCGGGATTCCAACCCAGGCCCTTCAGTCTCACACGCGAACGCTTAACCTCTAGACGACTGAGCTGGCCGGCATCCAACGGTGTTAATGTCTAACCTCAACCAGTCCATGAAATTTCTTGACGATTTTTCATTGTACTGAGATAGATACCTGTCTCTCTCCGACACGGATCGTGGATGAGCACTGCCAAAGAGTCCCACGATAGGACGAAACGGTCATCCAGTACTTACAAGTTTTCAATGGTGGTCTAACATCTATCGGTTCATGATCATAATCAAAAACTTAATAATCTCCACAACCCCATATTGGTAGGAAGATAATTAGCAAGTTAGTACGATTTTAATAGAATAATGAAGCAAAATGGTTAAACTAAGCAGAAATCATTGTGTTACAAACATTTTTTTGTTTATTTTTAAATAATTCAATCATATTCAGTTTGTATCACTTGTGATTGTTTTAAAGGATTTGAATTTTCAATATTCGCGCCAAAATTCTGTGCTACATTTCTTAAAAGTGTTATTTTATGCAAATTTGATTTCCATTTTACTTTACTTAATGATGAATTCATTTTGTGATCATTGATTTCATCATCCTTGATTAATAATAAATGATAAAACAAAGAAATAATAAGTTACGTAATAAATATAAAACTAATGAATAAATAAATGTTTCATTACAATTGGCATAGTTCATTTTCATTTGAATGAGGATAAATGAATTGTCAAATGTCAAGATGTACTTTTATATAATGGTTTATACATGGAGACAATTTTGGATACATATTCGTCTGAGGAAAGTGGAAACAGTGATGGACTGGGGAATAATATTCGTAATGTTGCTGCGACAAAATGTTCTTTTTATGGAATCAGAAATTCTCCTTTTTAAAATATATGTGGCTCTATCACCTTTGAAGTCGATGTTCATGTATAAAGTTTTCTTTTCTACTGTGATTATTTGTGTTTTTGGCGTTTTCGGCTTCATGTTCTTATCAATGAATATCGAAGGATACTCGTTTTTGATCTTTGTTCACCAATAATCTGAAAGATAAATTATCGCATCTGACCAACTCAGTGTGCATTTACCAATTTACCTGCTCTTGTGGAACTAGGTATATAGGTCGTTCGATGCGTATTTTATCCAAAAGAATTCAAGAACATTGCCCGGCGTGGCTAAAAAGAGGAGGCAACGGCTCAATAAGAAGTTCTATAATCGAACACCTTCTGAACACAGGTCACTCAATCAAGACAGACTCTGCGTTCAAAGTCATCTACAAGGTAATTAGAAGCCTTCCTAAGACAATTAGACTGCATCTTTTCTGCATTGCTGAAGCAATAGCCATACTTCTGGAAAAACCAGAATTGTGTGTGCAAAAGAGACTGCTACAACCTCTTCTTCTACCATGGTCTTAATGTATTAAAATTTTTTCTCTTTTTTCATACTCTTGTTCCCTTACAGCCACCTGCTTCACCTTCCATCTTCCCTTCAAATCTTTTTATTTCCACGATCATTCCGATTACATTTCATCTGTGTTTCAACATTTTATTTTGTCATGTTGAGCCATCCTTACCCAATGAATAATTAAGCCATTAACTATTAAACGATTATTAAACTTTCCTTGTTTTAAAAAAGTTTTAATACCTTTGTTTATTTAACCTCACTGTCATCATGTATAACAGAAGTTTATTATCAGTATTATTATCGTCCTGTAAAAATAATTATATATATTTGCGATTGTACAGCTTTGAAAATGAATTCGCCGAAAAGAGAACTCTTCGCTGAACTAATCTTTCTTATTTAATGTCTTAATGGGTGTATTCCGTTTATTAAAAACTCTGAGAACCATATAGTAAATAATTCATTTGCAAAATATCCATTAATTGTCTTAAACTTTGCTGTTCCTTCGTTTCCATAACAATAACTCTCTGTTCTCATTCTCTTCTCCTTGATTTACTCAATATTCTGCTTCCAGGCATTCCATTTTCAACTGGTGATACGTACTACTCATATCTGTTGATGTCAGTAGCATACACCACAACTAGTGACTAGCCTCGAGAGAAAATTCTTAAAGGTTTAGTGTGAAGCAGTGACTAATGGAGTTCAACTGTGTTGGGTATGAGGCAAAAGGAAGATGGTAGCGCAAAATCGTGGATTGGTTAAAGTTATACATTAACACCATCGGATGCCGGCTCATTGGTCTAGAGGTTAGGCATTTGTGTGAAACCGAAGGTTGTGAATTTGGATCCCGCCTTAGGGTGGGCATTGCTGAGGAGTACCATACTAGAACGAAACGGCCACCCAGTGCTTCCAGTTTTTCGATGATTTTCTAACGTTGAACGATTCATGATTCCAAGGAAAAAATGAATACTATGACAACGATCAAATAAGCATGAATAACAACCAATCAACTTGAGTGTCAATAAAATAATTTTCAAGTGAAAGTATCCTAACAACTTGTCACTAACTGGTTTTTGGGTTGGTTTTGTTTTGAAAAACAATGAAAACTTTACGGTTAAACCAACCAGGTCATAGAAAACAATGTCTAGAAATTTGAATTCTGATCAATAAGTGAGACTCCTATCTTATTACTTTATCAAAATTTGTAAAACGGAGAATTATTTCTCAAAAAGTCTTTTATTTTTATAATTACTAACTACTGATGATAGTTGTGCTATTGTGAATCATCTTAAAATGACGTAGTAATATATTTTACTACTGATAAAACTAATGTAATAACCTCTAGCTAGTGTTCATTAATATACTTAAAACCTGAAGGATTGCACTAATGAATAAATCACAATTAAAGAATGATAGATCATTGATTAAAGTGTTCTTTACAAGTGATTTATTTTTTATATGAACTACAGTAATACTATGATAGACTAAAGGGTTCGTGATTTCCCATTATTGATAATTAGGACTGAAATCAACATATCCGTTGAACAAGTTAGGGGCTATTAGGATTCAATAGATCAGAAGACAATGCATTGGGCGTTTGAAGTAAAATATACAGGGTTATGATTACAGTTTGGACATCTTCATAAATTCCTAAATAGGATGAAATAAGCATCCTAGATTCCATTGCAAGCTACAAATGAAATATACTAAATTATCAATCAATAAACCATAACCAGTTCTTGTATATTGATTTATAAACTGTAAGAGAAAAGAAAAGTGTAACTCATCTTTTCATTCTTAAGGTCAAACAATCTTTTTAAAAAAAAATAAATAAGTGAACAAACTGTCATACATTTATGATAGACAATCAAGGGAATGTTTGAGTTTAACTAAATATATTCAGTGCTTCCAGGTTTTTCATGATGGTCCAGCTTCAATTGACTCATGATTTCAACTGTTGAAATTTCTAAAATCTCCACAAAACCCCCTTTCTGATAATAATCATTTGCTCACTAGTGACTGACTTCAAGATGCATTTCCTGGAGTTCTAGTTAGAAGCTGTGACCAGTGGAGTTCAACCAGTTCTGTTGTGAGATATCAGCTCACTGAAGACAATGGTGTACGGTGGCGCAATTTCGTGGATTGGTTGAAGTTAGACATTTAACATCGTTGGATGCCGACTCAGTGGTCTAGTGATTAAACGCTCACGCGCGAGACTGATAGGTCCTGGGTTCGAATCCCGCGGGGTGTGGGATCGTGGATGCACACTGCTGAGGAGTTTCATGCCAGGACGAAACGGCCGTCCAGTGCTACCAGGTTTTCCATGGTGATCTAGCTTCAATTGACTCATGATTTCAACTATTGAAATTTCTAAAATCTCCACTAAACCTCTTCTGATAAATATTTAATGATTAAACACTATTTTCATAATTCTATTAAAATAGCTCTAATTCTAGTCAACATATCCACATTTCTGAGGTATAGTATGATGAACAAATTAGATAAATTAATAACTCAAGTTATTATGTGTACAGTATTCCATCAAAGTTTTATGTAAACATACCTTGTTAGGTGAATAATCTTGTTTTGTTACATATTGACTAAGTAAATGTTTACTGTGAGAAATTTCATCTGATGCTTCTTTTAATCTAGTTTTATAAGTATCTAGCTGATCTTGCATTTTAATTAGATGATCTTCAGTATTTCGTAATCTAAAATTTAAAGTCAACAATAATTAATCCAAATCTATAATGTTCAGATATCTGTAATTTTGAATAAATTAAATAGTCTAGAATGATTTATCAGTTTACTGCTTTAACAATCAAATTATTATTGAAGTTTGTGATGATTTAAATTATTTTGTACAGTCACATCGGTTGGTTAATTTAAGCAGTTGAATTCATGAATTTATCTAAGCTAAACTTCATTGGAAAACCCGGGAGCGCTGGATGGCCATTTCTTTCTAGTATGGGACTCCTCAACAATCCGCACCCATGACTCTGCACACAAGACTCAAACCCGGAATCTTCGGTCTTGCCCGCGATCACTTAACCTATAGAGCACTGAGACGGCGGGCATGTCTAACTCCAATCAATCCATGATCTTGCGCAACCATTCATCAATTGTCTGAGGTAGATACCTGTCTCTACTCAACATGGTTGATTGGGCTCCACTGTTTTTTTCTTGCAAGACCGAGGGTCCTGGGTTCGAGCCAATCATGTGTGGCCGTAAATGCGCACTGACGACGGGTTCCATACTAGAACGAAACGGACGTCTAGTGCCTTCCAGGTTTTCAATAGTGGTCTAGCTTAGATCGACTCATGAATCCAACTGTTAAATGATTAATATTTACCAATATAATAGATGTCGATCATAAATAATTTGTTGAAACGTGTTTACATTTTGTGCAACACTGAATAAACGTTTTATCAAGTTTTAAATATTAAAATATATATACAATTTAAAGATAATCACCTTTCCAACTCTGCATAATGTAGTAATCTTTGTTCTTTACGTTTACTAGGATCTATGAGATGAGACTTTCTCAATATTGACGACCATTCAGTTGATGTTACTAGTGTTTAAATTGAAAAACAAAAGTCAATCATTAAATTGAATTTTCATAAATATCATTAGTGGACAATTAGATAGTAAATATATTGAATTGTTATGGTCTTCCATTTCTAGTATGTTCTAACCATTGAACTTCATTGAACTTGATACAAATAAGAACGGCTATAATTTTGGAACAAGATTTATTTTAATGAACGAGAACAGTAATCTGCAGTAATAATTTATGTTTTTAACATTACAGTGTTTTTAATTCTATGGGTTAATTAAAGAGGTTGAAAAGTTTATCTTACAAATATCGTACAAGGTAAGTAAACTTATTGTAGTTCTATCATTTATAAATTCAATTCTTGCCTATTTCGTCCCTGTAACTAATGAAGACTTTGAAACTAAGCTTCATCAAAATCAACACTAATTGTATAGTTGCTAAATCAGAAAAGTTAGCATCAACTAATTCATTTATTTATTTAAACACATAAACATTGGTACAAGGAGGCACCAAAAAGATATGCACCACATAAATCATTCGATTTATGTGAGGACTGGAATACTGCTCGGGTCCTCAAACTGAAGTAGGTGGTTTTCTTAGGGAGTCACATCCCGAGCCCTTGACCTAAAGGTCTAATTCATAAGGCAGTGGAGCAACGTAAGGAGATGTAGTTCCGTGGTAGCCGGTGACCAATAATCAGTCCATACGCCGTTTGTTTCCTTAGGATCCTGGAGCCCATGTAAACCATTGGTTTGGAATTAAGGTTTTTTTAACTGCCGTAGATGGATACTCCATATTCACCAACCCGTTTAAAGCGCCATACATTCGCTTATCGTCTTTTCAATTTCGTAAACAACACCTCCGCCACGAGAAGACAGTTAGTAGGACTTCCCTGTCAGTGGTTGTATGCACGTGACCACTTGGAATGATTTCGAACGGGAGAGCTGACTCTTCCCACTCTCAACAGTACCAGGGCATTTGGGGGCATCAACTAACCGTAATACTATCCTCAAGAACTTATTTCATCATCTGGAGAATATTTTAAAGCCTCTGTTTAACATAACAAAATCTGATATACACATCGTATGAACTAATTCATCACAAGATCTTTTAGAAATCACTTTTAAACTTTTTAAAATTAAACTTCATCAAAATAATATGTTGAATAAATTAAACTATTGCATCACTTACAAAGTCCATCATTTGATAAAAGACAACTATTATTGTTGTATTGTTGTGTACCGGTTAATAGACAGAAAATATCCATGAAGAAATATTTCTTTATCTGTGACATTGTAAAAGTAAAGAGATATTTTGAAATACATATAATATCTTAAATACTATTGTTGTGTAGGCTACTTATATTGACATAAGTAGTATATAAGGTTGGTCAGGCATAGAATTTATTTCAGTAGATCGATAAGGAAAGAACGGGAACGGAACGCAGTTGGTATGAAAATGCATGAACAATGAAATCTGAGACAATGGATTGATATTTTGCAAATTAACGATTTACCATATGGTTCACGGATTTCTGTGAGATACTCTGTAATTACGTGTTCAAATACATTTGGGTGTCCCCACTCGTCTTCTCGTGTTCAATTCCGTTGAGATACATTATTTATTATAAAAAATGACTACTATTCTATTGACGTAAATTCAAATAATATGGTTGGAATCCTTACCTCCTTTATGGAACTAATATATCGGTCTTTTGTAATTTGAAGCTTAGCATAACTATTCTATTCATTTCCTATAAAGTTTTTTCATGTCGTTATGATTACAACAATGGCTTGAAAGGTGAAAAAACAGTATTAAGCTTTCTGTGCATAGTTCTTTCTGGTTATTAGTTTTGAACTCTCCTGTTGTTCATATTTTACAATAGATTGATCACTGGATGGTGATCAATATCATGTTTGTCAGGTCCTTCTTAGTGTAGATCGAATCCTATCGACCAAGTTGCTATATGGTCACTAGTCTAGGTGACTCACTACTGCGTGCACTATGTTGAGATAAGATGATGGTCGGGGGTTATTTTACTCTAATTAAATAAATCATTCAATTAAAGCAAGTCTTTAATATGAATATTTCTATGAGTTGTTTAGGATTTCATTATGATTTATTACATTAGCTTTAAAGTAATGAAAATACTGTTAGAATCAACAGATTATTTATAAATAAATCGACTTACTTTGTGAAAGATCTCTCTGTCTAGTACCTATAGTTATAAATGACAGTTTCAATGATTAGACAATAAATGTTACTTCTGTGAGAATAAAACACTGAAAGAGTTTTAGTGTCAGTCAGTCAATCCGTCAGTAACAACATAGAACTTCGTATGAACGTACATCAGTTCGAGTTGCCATACCATATTAGCACAGAAGTATAGTTGTGGTATCAAGGTTAATATCAGTCCATCAGTCAGTCAGTAACAACGTAGAACTTTGTACGTACTTATATCAGTTCGATTTGTCACACCACATTAGCACAAAGATGCAGTTGTCGATTCCAATCCCGTAGTGGTAGAGGTGGTAAGAGTATCAGCATTAACCGGAAAGATTAAGGTTTGAACATGTTATTTAAAGAATATAATCCAGTGAAATAAATTTGGAAAGAGAAAAAAAAGAGACAAGGAGGATTCAAGAGATTAGAATTTGGAAGAACACAAAGAGTGGATGCACCTACACCATTGCAAACGATATTGAGTCATGTTATTCAGGGTCTCTAACCATCGGTTGCTATCATCTCGTGGACCCCAACCAGGTAGTCTACACCTACCAACATGACTCAGTCTACTTGTCAGTGACTTCATGGACTTGTGCCATGTTTTGGTCTGGCCGCCCCTAACCTTCTTCCAACCTACTCCTATACCATTGAGCATAGCATATCGAGGCAGGTTGATATAGGAGGTTCATAAACTTCTTTAATACAATAATTATAGTAAATTCATCAGTAAACATAAACATAATTTTCATGAGTATATTATTTACCAAAAACTGAAAATCATCTTTTTCTAATTTTGGACCAATTATAAGGAATTGTTCATTTAATGAAGTCATTTCTTTTCTACTTATTTCTCTTTGTTCATCAATTGTATTTAGATGTTCATATTGACTTATATCAGATAAAGAATGATTTGGTATTCTAATCCAGCATAGAAAAATGAAAATAGCTATGAAACAACTTAAAATATATGACAAATTGGATTCAATTGGTTCAGCTCCAGCAATACATAATATTAACTGATCCCATATATACAATAATGTAGATTGAGATAAATAACCTAAAAGGATAGTTTAAAAAAGATATTTACTTGTAAGTATTAGATACTAAAAAAAGGAATGTTTGTTCTATATTAAGTTAAACAAGATTATAAGAAACATAAATATATATTATATTCACTTGGTATGGTTTACTTGGATCCAGAATCATCAAAGCATCATTCAAAACAAAGAAGGAGGGGATCACAATGAATATTATTCAATGTTATGCACCCACCATCGAGTAAGTAACACAGTTGTTAGGAAACGGGTACTAGGTAAGGATGGCAAATCAACTGATGAAGTAGTGAAACTTCATCAGTTGAGATGGCTGGGACACGTGTTACGTATGTCCAACGACCGACTGCCTCGACGTGCGATGTTCAGTGGTATAGGAGTAGGTTGGAAGAAAGTTAGGGGCGGCCAAACCAAAACATGGTACAAGTCCATGAAGTCACTGACAAGTGGACTGAGTCATGTTGGTAGGTGTAGACTACCTGGTTGGGGTCCACGAGATGATAGCAACCGATGGTTAGAGACCCTGAATGACATGACTCAAAATCGTTTGCAATGGCGCAGGTGCATCCACTCTCTGTGTTCTCTCAAATTCTAATCTTCTGAATTCTTCATGTCCCTTTTTTCCTCTTTCCAAATTTATTTCACTGGATTATACTCTTTAAATAACATCTCCAAACCCTAATCTTCCCGATTACTGCTTATACTCTTATTACCTCTACCACTATGGGATTTGAATCGACAACTGCATCTCTGTGCTAATGTGGTATGGCAACTCGAACTGATGTACGTACGTACGAAGTTCTACGTTGTTACTGACTGACTGACTAACTGACCAATGATAGCAACGACGACATTAAAGATCAATTCTACGAGCGGTTGCAACCAATCATAGAGAAGTGCCCAAGAAAAGATCTCACCATTCTGATGGGAGATCTAAACGCCGAAGTCGGAATAGACAACACTGGATATGAAGATATCATGGGACGACATGGACTGGGGGAGAGAAAGAAAAATGGGGAGAGATTTTCAAATCTATGCGCATTCAACAAATTGGTCATAGGGGGAACAATATTTCCACAAAAACGTATACACAAAGCTACATGAATCTCACCGAACCACACTACAGAGAACCAGATAGATCATATCTGCATTAATAAAAAAATCCGAAGGACAATGGAAGATGTGAGAACCAGAAGAGGAGCTGACACAACTTCAGATCACCACCTAGTTGTGGCCAATTTAAAACTGAAACTAAAGAAGAACTGGACAAGGTTCAATACAACCTTCCTTCGAGATACTAACAAACTCAATGAATTCAACATAGCTCTCAACAACAGGTTCCAAGCCTGAAAGAAGAAGAAACTACTATGGAAGACAACTGGAAAAGTATCAAAGAGGCATTAACTTCAACCTGTCAAGAGGTTGATGTTTAGGACTGTAATTGATGAGCCTCTTATTGGCACGTGTACATTGGCAAGGTAAATTCAGCTGTTGAGTTCCAAATAGGAAAAAACGCGCGTCCTGGATTCCATTGCTAGCCACTACCTATCTTTGCTTATAAATATATATTGCCTGAATTTTATGCATATTCAGTCACAAATTATTTTCAGTATAGAGTTTTGTGGAGTTTCCATATTTTTTAACTCGTGACTAAAACTGAAAACCGAAAGTACTAGATGGCCGTTTCATACTAATATAAAACTTCTAAGAAATATCCATAAACAATCTTGCTACTCTTAAACTCTAATTTACTTAAATAGTATCCAATGGTATACATGTTTAAATTCAATTCAATTAAGATATTGCTCGACTATCTTCTGTTGCTTGAGGTGGATGACTAACTCACATTGGACATAGTTGAACTTCACTGATCACTGTTTCTCATCAGCAGTTCAGGAATTATATCTTGTAGCTTGACACTAGCGAGCATATGATTATCATCAGTATAGGGTTTTGTGCAAATTATATAACTTATTATCAAGTTTTTAATGGTGTTTTCAACTAAGATCAGCTATTGATTTAAGAAAGATAAATCATCCCTTATGATATAGCTATCCAAACTTAGAATTCAGCTGCTAGATTTCCTGAAACTCATGTATGTTCAAATAGACAGCATTCCCACCGAAAGATCATTTCCTTCATCCTAAGTACTTAATTATGTTTATTTCAAGAAACTGAGTAGAACAGTGGGTCAGTAGTTAGGAAGTTTGATTTACAGTCGCTAAATGGCATGTTTCAACCCCGACCGACTTACTTTGGTCTGGTCAACCGGGTAGCACTATCAGTGTTAACGCCTAGGGTATGGTTCAAAAGTAATTACACGAATCTGTACAAAGCAAGTGAGTTAATAATTAGTTTACAGGTAGTTGATAAAAAAAACACCTAACCATATGGAACCCGATTTTATTTTATTCACTAGTCAGTACAATATTTTTGACAGACTCCATAAAAATATTCACAAAAGGTTGCGTATTATCGAGTGTTTAAAATTTATTCAGCGAAACACTATTCAGTAATCACTTCTAATATCTGTGATAAATGTTACATAAATTCATCTAAAAGTATAACTTCAACAAGGTATATATATTGAATTCAGAAACTATTACGTCTAATATATAGATGAGTGGTATTAGAAAAGTACCAGTCGGCTGAGACTATGATTTGTGGACGACGTTTGAGTGACGCTTAAGTGATCTTGAGAAACCCCATCTACTTACTAGGGTGAAGTGAGGGTTATAAACCAATTTGAAGAATTAAGATTATGATTTACAGTTGATGGTTAGGGTTAGGAATTAGATTTATGGTTTTCATCATGAACAGACATCAGCTACAATACCAGAACACTATTTAGCCAGATGAATGGATGAATTTCGCGCCGAAACCCAAGACTTGTTATCCTGAATTTGGTTGGTTCGTTCATTAATTATAGTCTCGCCGTTTATAGATTTCATGTAATATCATGTAGATGATTCAATATTTATATAACCATAGCAAATCTGTGCCAATTTCATGAAAAATTTTCAAATCTTATGAAATATTTCTCTTAGCATAATAACTCATCCGATAATTTTTGTGGTCTACGTAACATGTAGAAACGTTT